TGACCCAGTCTAGAACGGTTAGTTCCCTAAACAACACGGAGCATCCAGATTGCCCAAGTAGTCTTAAAAACAAACAAACAAACAAACAAAAAAAAAAGATTTCCGGGCTGGGGGTGTAGCCCAGTGGTAGAACATGTATAAGGATCTGGGTTCAATTTATGTCACCGCACAGTGAGTAGGGCATTTGCCTTGCACGAAGCCAACCAGGCCGACCCGAGTTCGATTCCTCCGCCCCTCTCGGAGAGCCCGGCAAGCTGCCGAGAGTATCTCACCTGCACGGCAAAGCCTGGCAAGCTACCCCTGACGTATTCGATATGCCAAACACAGTAACAACAAGTCTCACAATGGAGATGTTACTGGGCCCGCTCGAGCAAATCGATGAACAACGAGAGGACTGTGCTGTGCTGTACTGTGCCAAAAACAAAGGACAGATTTGGATTTCACCTCTCATTACAAAACCAGAAAACCTGGTGGGGGTGGTAGGAGAACCTTCATGTGCTGACATGCATGGGCCCTGCCAACTCCTAAAACAATCTAAGGGTCATGTGTGGCGCTGGGGTGGGGGAGGGAGGGAGGGTGGAGCAGTCTGAACATAGAAACCTGTTTCCTCCCGGTTCCCCTTCTGTTGCTGCCTGCGGGAGTGTGGCAGTGACGGGGAGTTGATGCCGCCCTCCTGGGCAGTGGGGGGGTTCCACAGTGTACTCTGCTCACACACTCGGTCCCTGTGGTGACACTCTTGGTTGATGCACACACATTATGGTTGAGGTGCTCACACATGTGCTCACTGGGAGGCACACTTCTTGGCCATGGGTGCCTGCATATCTTTTGGGTTGTAGAGCTGACAGCTTCTGTGCCTCTTTATGTGTGACTTACACACACCTAGAGGTCAGTCCTATTTCCAGCCAGAAATCTCTTGCAGAGTGGGGAGGTCACGGACATCAGAGATGCCAGGATCAATCATGTAAGATACATGTGGGGCACGGGGAATTGAACCGATGGCCGTGTGGGTGCAAGTCAGATACGCTGAGACTCTGCTTTAAGTCTTCTGGGCCATCAGTTCCCTGGGACTTAGTGTCTAGAGGAACTGGCTTCTCCATGGACTGCTCTCAGTGTAGGCTTGCCAAACAGAAGTTTCTTGACTCAAGGTAGCCCAGCCTGGGAGTTGGGATTTGGGAATTTGAAGATTCCAGCCCTCCCAGGAAGGGGAGTCCTTGATTTGCTCAGGGGTCTTTCTGGGGAAGAAGGGGTGCCGGCTGGAAGGAGCCTCGCCTTTTTTTCATGGCCCTTGCTTCCCACCAAGCCTGACTTCCAGGTGTGAGATCCATTCCCAGATACCAGGAAAGCAGTGATCTGGCAATAACTTTTATAATCCCAGCTGCAGTTCTTGTTTCTGGAGTAATTTTTTTTCTGTAGGTTTTCAGAACTTTTTCCATCCAAGTGGCCCCTGTCAGCCGAGGACCACCCAGGTCTCACACACCCAGAACCGCATCTCCCGGGAAGACAGTGCCTACCTTCCCCTGCCTGGAAACTTTTGGAATTAGTGGTTTTATTTATTTAATCCTCTTCAAATAAGAGTTTGTATACTTCTCACTGCTTGCTGGGCTAAAATAAAAACAAACAAGAAGGGAAAAAAGAAACATCAAAGAACTAACCAACCACCTGCAGAAACGCTCTCCCCACCTCCAACAGCACCTGACCACCTGAGACATTTTCTTTTCTTTTCTCTCTTTCTTTTGCTCTCTCCTTCCTTCCTTCCTTCCTTCCTTCCTTCCTTCCTTCCTTCCTTCCTTCCTTCCTCTCTGTCTGTCTGTCTGTCTCTCTGTCTTTCTGTCTTTCTGTCTTTTCTTATGGAATCACCAAGATACAGAGTTACAAAGCTGATTGTGGTTGGGTTTTATCGTACAATGTTCCAACACCCATCCCTCAAGGGTTGGAAGCCAGCCTCAGGTGCTGGAGGAGAGGAAGTTGAGGTAGAAAAGGGGCCACTATCACAAAGTTTGGAAATGATCACTCTGGATAAAAACTGAGTGCTGAAAGTAGGTCAAGGAACAAACATGATCACCTCTCAGTATCTGTATAGCAAGTCATAATGCCAAAGTTGGGGATGACTGTGTGTGTTTGTGTGGAGAGAGAGAGGGGGGGGGTGCCACAGACAGACTGAGGGGAGGAGGTGGGAAATGTTGCTTTTTTTCTTTCCCAAAGGAAAAAGGTGAGGGGGGCTTGACGGGGGGGGGGGGGGGGGAGGCGAGAGGGACTTCTTTGGTGACTCTCCAAGCTGGTCTCTGCTCTCTGCATTCTTGCTGCATAAACCTGGCCTCTTGTGATGAGCATATCACCTTCATCAAAGGCTGATTTCAGCTGCGATGGGTGTAGGACCTTGAGCTGGTGGTAGGTTGGGAATCTCTGATCCTTGTATGTCTACTTGGATTCATCCAACCTGTGTTTGTCTTGACATGACCAAGGGCTGTTTCCTAAGTTAGCTCAGCCTTCCCAAGCGTGCTTTCCTGATCCATCTTTCTCAACTCCAGACTCTTAAGCTTCAGTGTGCAACAGAAATGAGAGACATTCGTGCCCCTTGTCTCCGTTTCCCTGGGTCACAGTGGACTTGTAGGCGACTCTTAGCAGAGCAGCCCCGAGTCTTTCCACCGCAGATTAGCTCGGGACCAACTTTGAGAAACAGAGTCCAGGAATTTGCACTCTACCGTTCAAACACTGGGCCGGCCTTCTTGGCATTTAAGTCCTTGGCAGTTAACGGGGTGTGATTCTGATACTGTTTCCAAGGCAACACACCTCCTGTCACTCCTGACAAGGCGGGGCTGATTCAGAAGGGACCTGGGGGAGGCTGCAGCCATGTGGTGACCTCCAGGTGAAGGTCATGGAAGTCCTTTACGACACCAGGGGTCTGGGTCATGCATGCCAGAGCCCAGCCGAAAGTTAGCAGTAATGAAGTAAATAGATTAAGAGCCCGAGAGTCTTTGGACAACTTCCGGAGGAGGTTGACAAGGACATGAGGAGAGAGGGATGAGAGCAGATGTTCTGTGGCTTGTGTTCCATTGTTGTCCCTTGCCTTGTCTCCACATCAGCCTGCTCCAGAGGGCCTTGAAAAAGCACTGGGTGAATCCTAGGGCACCATGGCGAACATTACAGCACAGGCTTTTGGTTTTATGGACAGCATTTTGTTCACATTCATCTGTTCTTTTATTTATTTTTTTTGCTTTTTTTTGGGGGGGGCACACCTGGCAATGCACAGGGGTTACTCCTGGCTTTGCACTCAGGAATTATCCCTGGTGGTGCCCAGGGGACCATGTGGGATGCTGGGAATTGAACCTGGGTTGGCCACATGCAAGGCAAACGCCCTACCTGCTGTGCTATTGCTCCAGCCCCCATTCATCTGTTCTTGATGTCAGGTGAGGCATGGACGCTGCCAGCTTTGAGTCCTTAGTATGTGACGGGAACTTGCACATGGCCTTTTATCTTATTTCATTTGACTTTTTGTGACCTAGTTGCCAGGAATTTGCACCCTACTGCTTTGTACATTTTCCTAGGTTTGATGAAAAGATAATATCTGTACCCCATTTTTGCTCAGGAATCTTTGGGGGGCTTGTTTAACTTTGAAGCTGGAGGGCAGTGGAAAAAACATTCCATGCCCACCAGGCTTTGGGGGCTGGCCCAGAATTCCATCCTAACCAGGCTTTCAGCCGCAGACAGCCATGCCCGACTCCTGGTGACCTGGCTTCTGCTGCTGATCAGGAGAGCTTTAGACTAGGTTGTAGACTTGGGAGGTGCCAGGAGGGGGACCCGGGCAGGAATGGGACCCAGGCCTTACACTTGCAAGGCCTGTGCTCTGCCACTCGGCCACATGCCCCGGCCAGTAGTCTTAGTTAAATATTGAAAGTGTCCACACCCATGCAGAAGCCATTAAAATTGAGAGGCTTTGTCATTAAATAAAAGTATGTACTTCAGCCCTCCTGTCCCCCCCCAAAAATCTACTACCTGGGGATACAAAAACATCTGCTGAATAAGGTGATTTCTTAAAATTTTTTTCCGATCCGAGTTGGAATTTCTGCACCTCAGGCTGTTGGGGTGGTATCAGCAGGGGTGGGCGGGGGTTGTAGAGGGGAGCTACTCTGTCGGTGTTTAGACTGACCTGAGGAATGAGCCTGGTGGAGGGAGGTTTTGTTGTTTCTGGCATTGTTTTACTGTCTTGTGCATTTAGGAGGGGAAAACACACTGAGAAAAATAAATAGGGAATGAATGGCATCTGGAATATGAACTGTTTTCTTTATTCTTGATTGCTGCATTCCTTCTGAGGAGGCGATGCTATATTTTGAGGAGTTATACCATCAGATGCTCATTTGAAGAGTTATTTCAGCTTACAAAGGCTGTGTCTGGTGTGGTGACGGTTAAGTTATGTAAATATGTTCTACTCCCCCTCCCCCGCCCCAACCCCAATTACTGGGTCACACTGGCAGTGCTTGGCAACTGCATGGTTCCGGGGATGGAACCTGAGTGTCCTGCATACCAAGCCTGTGCTCTGGCCTTTGGGACATCTCCCCAGCCCAGCTTGGTGCAGTGTTGGGTAAATTAGGACATGTTTCAAGTTTTGGTGAACTTGAAAATGAGAGAAGGTTCTGCTGGGGAGCGGCAGAAAAAAAGCATGTTAGTTACTCTCTTCCAGTTCTTACCTCAGATCACCTTTTTTTTTTTTTTATTTTTGGGCCACATGTAGGGGTGTGCTCAGGGCTTACTCCTGGCTCTGTGCTCAGGGATCACTCCAGGCAGTGCTAAGGGGATCATGTGCGGTACTGAGGATCGAACTGGGGGTCCTCCATGTGCAAGACAAGTGTCTTATCTGTACTGTCTCTCCAGCCCTTGATCCCCTTCTTAACTCCAGTATTCCACTTATGGCCCAAAGTCGCAATCTAGTCTGGAAAGAATAAACCATCAGAAGTGTTTATTTGGAACCCAGTTACTGAACTCTTTCCCTTTTCTCCACTTAGGTGTTGAAGAATCTCCATTAGTGCATTTGGAAGACTGAATGGATTAAACATGAAGAGCTTGAAAGCGAAGTTCAGGAAGAGTGATGTAAGTAAGCACGTGACTCACCTGCCAGCTCCCTGGAGGTTAGCCCCTCCCTCTCCATGCTCCCTGAAGCTGTAGAAGCAGTGCTCCACTTCTCCTTTGATAAGATGCTGGTTAATCAACTACTGAAGCTGGCAGTACTCAGTACTCAGCTTATGCTAGATCAGAAGCATTGAGGAAGGACGTGCTCCCAGGTTTTTGCTGTGTGTGTGTGTGTGTGTGTGTGTGTGTGTGTGTGTGTGTGTGTAGCTTTTCAAATGACCTTAAAAAGAAAAATTTCTGGGCTGGAGTGATAGTACAATGGGTAGGGCTCTTGCCTCACATGGGCTGACCTAGACTTGATCCCTGGCACTCCCTCTGGTGCCTTGAGTCTCCCAGGAGTGATCCCTGTGCTCACAATCAAGAGTAAGCCCTGAGCTCTGTTGGGTGTGGCCCCAAAACAAAACAAAACAAAACAAAAAAACCAAAAATCTCTATGGTTGATGATGCCTTGTAGAGGAAGTAATAGTCCAAGTAAAGCTCTTGAAGAGATGAATCAGTTAAAAGTTTCAGCATTTCTAAAATCCTCTAGATCTGACAACTGAAAGTCATTTTTGAATGCTGGTCTTGGAAACACAGTGAAGGAATAATAATGAGCTCTTGGTTCATCTGGAACTTTAGGAAATGTTTTAAAGACTCTCTGTTAGGGCTTTTTGGCTAAACAAGAATATCTTTCGCTGTCTGTACCTTTACTCCCCCGGAACTCCTGGGGTTCTTGCTCATGGGGTATCTGTTATAAAAGGCTTTGGATTGGAGGAACCGTTTGTGATGTCAGAGTTATGAAACAAAGCCTCACAGAGGAAAGAAGTGGAGAGAGAGATCCCACTGGGGAGCTTAAACACTGTGGTATTTAGCCAGGGGTCACCTGGGCAGAGCTGCTGCGATTACGTCCTTGGTTCTTTGCGCAAGATGCTGGGAGCACGCTGGTTAGACCAGAGGAGTCGTGGAAGGGAATTCAGTTGACAGAGGTCTGTCACCCTCTCGCTGGTCTCACTCAACTCCCATTTCGTATTAGGTAGTTCTTTGTGAGTCTGCTTTTATTTTGTTGCCAGCAATCATAGCTTGTCATGACTGCGTATTCACAAATGGAGCCTGTCCTCTGGCTAGCCTGTCATACTGAGTGCTCCGTGGAGCCAGACCTTATCTGCAGGTGACATGTACATCATTATTGCCCAGATGAGGCCCAGACCAGAGGAGATGTTGTAGGCTAATGTCTACAAGCATCATGTCTTAAAGAAGTTAGTGTTCCGTATGAAAAACTTGGTATCACCTTCTCATTCTTTGAAAAAAATTTTTTTTATTGAAGCGATATTGGTTTAAAACATTTATGTTTCAGCATATGGCTTTGTAATTTGACATCTAAATTATGATTGGGCCAAAAATCTAACTTCCCCCTGCCACTTTGTAAGTGATCTTTACCCAAATTATGAACAACCCCCCCCCCCACTTCCTCTGGTAACTGCTATTGTTTTTGTAATCTGAGGTTTTGTTTTTGTTTGTTCATTTAAATGAAGTCATATGGTATTTATCTTTTTTCATCGGACGTATCTCAGCATAATACCACTGTACATGCATCAAAGTCGCCTTCTCATTTCAACCAACTAAAAATTAGAGACTGTGTAATGACTTGGCCGAAGTCATTTAGGCAGCCTTGGGCCAGAGTGACAGGCTTGGCCCTTTGACCTCCTTAACCCTGTGCTTCTCCCTCACCCAAGAAAGTTTTTTTCAGCCTCAGCAACTAACCCTGTGGATGACAATCTGCACATCTCACTTGGCTTTCTTAAGAAGAAAAAGACAAGTAAATAGAGTTTGCCTGGTTGACCGGATATGGGTTTGTAATTTTGTGACCAGGTTAACAAATGTGTTTTCTACTCGGAGAGAATTTGGGTAACTTCCATTCATACAAGAGGAGATTATTTTAGCAAAATGTAATCAGTTTAGAGTTTCCTGATAGATGAAAAGGGGCAAGGGGAAGTCATTGGCGCATAAATGTTGGGTTTAAAAATTAAAAACTGGAGGCAGTTGAGCGGGTGTTGCTGGAGCCTAGTTTTTAAATAAAAACGGAAATATTTCCATGATAACAAGCATAGTAATTACACTATTTAAAAGCTTCTGTGGTTTGGCAAAAGAAAGGCTGCAATTTTGGCAGTTAGTATGAAGGGAAGAAATGTGAAAGTAGCAGGCCTGGGCGAGCAGGGAAGTGAAGGAAATTGGTATAATAAAGGGACCGGACAATACTAAATTCATCCCGAGTTGCTTCCCAGAACCACACAGCTAAATGGAGGGAATAAATCCCAGTTTATTAACCAGCCATATGATAGCAATAACCATTACGGAGGACCTGCCCTTCCACTCCATGTGAGGTGCTGGTCACAAATTCATTATATGGAATTCGTTTTATCCTGCAACAAACGTTCCGTGGTGGATGTGATTGTTAGGCTCCTTTTACAGATGCAGAAACCAAGGGCTAGGTACAGTAACTAGTCAGGGTTCTTGGAGCTTGAAGTTGTTCAACCAGTTTTGGTGCCAAAGTAGCCGGATTCCAGACCCTACATTTCCCAAGAGAGGAATTTAGACAGAGACATGATTTTATGAAACATAACCATCTCAGCTCAAAAGCTCGAATGGAGGTTTGAGCTCTTGGTCACGTCTCTTCCCTTTCAGAAACCTCAGGTTTCTTACCCAAAGAGTAGAGAAAAAAATCTCTTGGCCTCTGACAGAGGTGGTGAAAACTCAGTGTCAAACACACAGCTTTGGTCTGGCACTCAGGGATACTTGGTAAATATTTCTTCCTTCTTTCTATCCAGACATCTGTGTTATAAAGTGTAGATAGTGGGGCCAGAGATGAAGTACAGTGGCTAAAGTGTTTGCTTTTCTGATACCTGTAAAATACCCCTAGCACCACATACCGTCCCCTAGGTACTTTCACTCTTGAACACAGCCAGGAATAGCCCAGAGCACCACGGGGTATGACCCAAATGGCACCCATTATAAATCCCAGCATGTTAGCCAGCCATCTGGTTGGGGGCCCACCTTTGTCTCCAAAAAAGAGTGTAATTGAGTAGGAGGACTGAATGATCTGGTAAAAGGTGCTGTCTCAGGGAGATGCCAGGAGGGAATTGCTTTTTAATATATGTCTCTTGGTTTGATTTGGAAGAGAGGGAAAAAAATATATATATCTACAAATGCACACATAAAAACAATTTTTGACTATTCGAATTCTGTTAAATATGCCAAACCCTAATCTTGAACTGAAGTGGTCTCTCTTTCAAAGAAGTATCCGAAACCAACAAACCACCAAATCTTTTCATTTGTCTTTGTGTGAGGCTCCAAGGAGAGGGAAGAGAGGGTTCATTGTCTTTCTGGAGAGTCGGCAAAAGAGGGCCACAGTTTGGGTTCTTGTTTCCAGAAAGAAGGGAGTGACCCCAGGGGCATGATTGCATTTCAGCCAGCCGCCTCTGCAAGGCCCAGAGCTAGACCCATTTGAGGTCACTGGGAGAAAAGCTCCGGGTCAACAGTGACAAGAGTGTCCCAGAGGAGCCCTTCGTGGACAGCCTTAAAGCCCTTTTCAAGTGCAGAACTATCACTGCGTGGTAAACATTTAATCTGGCTCTTCTTTCTGGAGTATGTGGATCTAAGTGCCGCCGAGTTAAAGGCAGGTTTTTTTTAGGACTAGTCGGGGGTGAAGGGAGTGGAGTCAGCTGGTTTGGGTTTGATCATTTACATAGTGGCTTTCGTCCTGGAACCATTTGGGACTCTGCAGATGTCCACGGAGGCCAGAATTTTGAAACTTGGTGCCATCCTACGGCGGGTGACGCTTTTCAGGTCACATTTTCTTTATAACCTTATATGGGGTAGCCTTAAACTTGGGTTTGATACTAGGTCTACAGAATAATGAAGAGTGGATTTTGTTTCTCAGAGGCTTGTCAATGGAGGGGAGAGGAGGGAAAAAAATCACAAGTAAATACTGTCACTGCCCTCCCGTTCATCAGTTCATCAATTTGCTGGAGCGGGCCCAGTAACATTGTGACACTTGTTACTGTGACTCTCCATTGAGACACTTGTTACTGTGTTTGGCATATCGAGTATGTCACCCTTAGCTTGCCAGGCTTTGCCGTGTGTGCGAAATATTCTCCGTAGCTTGACTTGCTCTCCGAGAGGGGCAGAGGAATCGAACTCGGGTCGGCCCTGTTGGCTGTGTGCAAGGCAGATGCCCTACATGCTATGCTATCGCTCTAGCCCACAAGTAAATACAAACAGGCAAAATATAGGTAGTGGATTGTAGATACTACAGGAGACTTCAAGGTGATAGAGCCATTCATTATATTGTGGGGACCGGAAAGGAACTTCTCTGATTTTCAGGGAGAGATGAATCTCTGGAAATGGGAGAATTTGGGTGAGCTTTTTAGAGGGAGAGTTTGCAGGCCTTGCAGCTGGGTTGGGAAGGGTGGTTAGGAGATAAGTAGGCAATGCAGGGGGGTGGGATCATTTAAAAGCCCAGTGGCTGGAGTCAGTGTCAAAATCGCCTTTGGCGTGCAAAATAATACTACGAGAGCCTGGGAAAGTGCCAGGGATAGGCTCTGAGTCTTTCAATAAGGACACTATAAATTTTTCATTCTCGTTTTAAAAATGAATGCACTTGGATTTAATGGTTATAAAACGAGTTGCATTCTAAATCATCATTTATAATATCTTTTATGACTAGAGTATGAAAGTCACTTCTTTACCTCTTTAAATATTTGCAGCCACTATTATGTGGCTCCACATGGAAAAATGAGCTGTCATCATGAGACATTATGCCAAGAAGGTTGGGATTTCCCTTTGCTCATAAAATGCTCACGCTTCTGGAATTTCTTTGTAAATGCCAAATTTTAGTGCCTTGAGTGAAATGGGTGGAGGTTGAGGGATGGGAAATGGGAGTTGAAAGATCTTTGTAACCAAACTTGATAAATGCCTCTCCAACA